TGGATGGGCTGAGAGGGACAATCAGGACTAGAGATGGAGTTTTGGGAACATGGCTGGGGGTAGTGATGGGCAGGGATGACAGGAGGAGTGGGGAATAAGGACAAAGACCTGGCAGCTGAGCAAAGGAGGGACAAGGACATCGTGTACTGCACGTACGACAGGACACACACTCCTCCGCCCTCAGTAGCCAGTGGCAAGGGGGCACTGCGCAATTCTGTGAGGTGCCCCAGGGCACACTCCCGGTATGCTCTGCTTCTCTGAGGCCCTATCTAGGCCTTGGGCCCTACCCAACACCTGTCCTAGAGAAAAGGCAGAGCAGGGTCACAAGAAGCCGTCAGGTGTCAGCTCCTCTCCTTTCTGTGGACTTGGTCACTGTTGGCTTTGAGGGATGTCAGAGAATTCTACAAAGTGTGACCCTCCATACTCTGAGGAGTCTGCTGCTTTCCCCCAGTGTGCAATGTACATTGCTAATGAGCACTGTGCAAAGATCTTTCCAATTTCCTACTGAGTTCAGCCTGGCTTCCAACTCTGCACACAGCCCTCTGGACTTGGGCCAGATGAGCCTACGCAGAATCTCTTGAACAGACCTCCCTTTTCTGTCTGCTCCCTCATGGAGGAGCCACTGTATGCTTGGGCCCACAGAGTCCCTTGTCTCCTGCTGTCCCTTTCCATTTCCTAGTTTTGGGGATCACTGGGTAGCAGAGCTTTCCAGGAACTGACTCATACAGCTATCCCTCATTCCAACCCCTCATCTCAGTCCCAGGGCCCACATTCCTCTACCACTGAGATCTGGGTGAGTAGTAAGAGAGGTCAGAGTATCACTTCTGCCTCCACTACATTGCCTATACGTGTTGCCAGTGTGGCCCTTTGCCCTTCTGTCCACAGCAGAGAGTGATTTAGGACTCAGTTCTTTTCACCACTGATGTTCAAGGTTGCCAGGCACCAACCAGTGCCTCACATCTGTAATCCTAGCTACTCAGGAGGTTGAGATCTGAGGCTCTCTGTTCCAAGCCAGTCCTGGCAGAAAAGTCTGAGAGACTCATCTCCCCTTAACGACCAGAAAGCTGGAAGTGGAGATGGGCTTAAGTTTTAGCGTGTTAGCCTTAAGTGAAAGAGCTAAGCGAGGGTTGGAGGCCCTGAGTTTAAGCACCAGTGATAAGACTAAACAAGAACAATGTCAAAGGCTTAGAGGGACCTCTGGGCACAGGCACAAGGTCCTCCTTGCCCTAGACTCTGTTGAGGACCCAGTAGTCTAGCCCACCACTACTCCAAGACAGTTTGGACACTATTTTACCTGGATCCATATGTTAAAAGAAAAATGAGCCGGGCACCGGTGGCTCACGCCCGTAATCCTAGCTACTCAGGAGGCTGAGATCTGTGGATCACGGTTCAAAGCCAGCCCAGGCAGGAAACTCCATGAGACTCTTTTTTTTTTTTTTTGGGTCCGGTCGTGGGCCTTGAACTCTGGGCCTAGACGCTGTCCCTCAGCTCTTCAGCTCAAGGCTAGCACTCTACCACTTGAGCCACAGCGCCACTTCCGGTTTTTTCCTTTTTCCTTATGTGGTGCTGAGGAATCGAATCCAGGGCCTCAGGCATGCAAGGCAAGCACTCTACCACTGAGCCACCTTCCCAGCCTGCTCCATGAGACTCTTATCTCCAATATACCACTACAAAACCAGAAATGGTGCTGTAGCTCAAGCAGTAGAGTGCTCTGCCTTGAGCTGAAGAGTGAAGGTACAGCGCCCAGGCTCAGAGTTCAAGCCTCACGACCAACCAAAAAGAAAGAAAGAAAGAAAGAAAGAAAGAAAGAAAGAAAGAAAGACAAATGATGGTAAGTCCCTTTCCTAGAATTTGAGTGGTGAATCCATTGTCTTTGCAGGAAGTGTGTGTGTATGTGTGTGTGTGTGTGTGTGCGCGCGCGTGTGAATCCTAGGGCTTGAACTCAGGGCCTAGGTACTGTCCCTAAGCTTAGTTTTGATCAAGGCTGGTGCTCTGTCACTTGAGCCACAGCTCCATTTCTGGCTTGTTGTTGTTGTTGTTAGTTTACTAGAGATGAGTCTCATAGATTTTCCTGCCCCAGCTGACTTTGACTTTTGGATGTCAGCCTCCTAAGTAGCTAGCATGAGGCACCAGCACTTGGCTCCAGTATAGTTTGTTTGACCTGGGTTTTCAGGCCAGATCTAGTTGTCTATTCTGGATCTAGGACCTAAGGCCACTTATAGTCTATGGAGGTAACATGGAGTTCAGCTTCCTTCCGTCTTTTTTTTTTTTAGGGGGGGGTCTGGTCGTGGGGCCTGAACTCTGGGCCTGGACGCTGTCCCTCAGCTCTTCAGCTCAAGGCTAGCACTCTACCACTTGAGCCACAGCTCCACTTCTGGCTTTTTTTTTTTGGGGGGGGGGGTCCGGTCATGGGGCCTGAACTCTGGGCCTGGGCGCTATCCCTCAGCTCTTCAGCTCAAGGCTAGCGCTCTACCACTTGAGCCACAGCGCCACGTCTGGCTTCTTTCTTTTTGCTTATGTGGTGCTAAGGAATTGAACCCAGGGCCTCAAGCATGCAAGGCAAGCGCTCTACCACTGAGCCACCTTCCCAGCCCCATGGCTTTTTTTTTCTGCTTATATGGTGCTGAGGAATCGAACCCAGGGCCTCGTGCATGCAAGGCAAATGCTCTACCACTGAGCCACCTTCCCAGCCCTTCCTTCCATCTTTAGTGGTAAGAACTAGCAGGTGGGCTTCTGGATTGAGCTGCCTATCTATGTTAACTGCTTTTGCCAGTGTTTGTGGCCTTGCTCACTGCTCTGTTTCTCCTCCTCCCAGGCAACTCCTGTACGTGCTCTGTGCACGTGGTCCAAGAAGACTGAGTTGGGGTGCTGTCTGCAGAGCTGAGGAGGTGGCTGAAGTGGGGTGGGATCTAGAGGCATGGCAAGGCAGGGCAGAGGTAGGGACAGAGGCAGGGCAGGGGTAAAGGCAAGACAGAAAAAAAAGAATGCAACAAATAGGTCTGAGTCATTTAAAATACAATTGTAGGTTTGCACAAGTCACTCTATTTACTCATGAGAGAAAGGCTGGGGTACCTCACAGAGGCTCCCGACCTACCTGGCCATAGACTGCCTGAGGACACCCTAAAGTCAGAGCACTCAATCTCAGAGCAAACAGAATCATGTTTGGGGGCAGCCTCTTCATGGTCCTCTTCCACTGGAGGGAGGGGCTGAGTGACTGGCTCCACACTGTCCCTATCTCTGTTGACTTCTCAGTTCTCACAAGTTCTTAGGTCGCATGGCACAGACTCTGTGCTTGGGCTTGGTGGTAGTCCTCCCCCTCCAGCACTGCCCAGAATGGAGGCGCCCTGGCCTCTGTTCTTGACTAAGCATTCTTTCAGTGCCAGCTCCAATAGGAGGGAGGGGCTGTGAGCTCAACACCATGACCTCAGCAGCCTCTGAATTTCCCCATGCCTATTTCTAGTTCCCACAATTTGCAGGTCATCTGTTCCCTAGGATTCCAAGAACTCACCATCCCCCCCCCTCCCCTCCAACACACACACTTCCAGCCCCATAGCCTAGATATCACTGATCCATGTTTCTGTACTGATTGGGTGAGGATGAGAGTGCTGCGCATAGTTGTGTGACTCTGGTCACAGTACCTCCCTGCCATTAACTACGCTCCTCCCACTTAGTTCCTTGTTTCCCTTGTACACAGTGGAAGGCAGGACAGGGCTGGCCCACCCTTCTTTCCAGTGTCCAGGCACAGGTGGGCACAGGTGCTAGGTCCTCCTTGTTATACATTCTCCTAGGGCTTCCCCGTAGTCCAGCCAAATACCTCGCCCCAGGACATTTTGGACACAAAGTGCGTCACCTGCAATCACTGATTGTATACTTGTATTACCAAGAGAATGTCCATCCCTTCAAAGTCTGCTAATTCCTCCAGAGTCCCTTGTCAACTTGCTGATGGGAAGTAGCCCAGGAAAGAAATTGATTGACTTTGGGAGAAACTTTGTATGCTGATTCTTGGGCTTGAACTCCCAGCCTGGGTGCTGTCCCTGAGTTTCTTTTACTCAAGGTTAATGCTCTAGCACTCAAATCACAAATCCACTTCTGGCTTTTTTGGTAGTTTGTAGTGGATGAGTCCCAGTGAGCTTTCCTGCCTGGGCTGGCTTTGAATCACCATCCTCAGATCTTAAGTCTCCTGAGTAGCTAGGATTACAGGCATGAGCCACTGATGCCTGGCAGGTAGGAGACAAATTTAAGACTCAGATATGTCACAACAGGAAGTTGTCAGGGGTCAGCTTGGGTTCATCAGTGGACCTGATCATGATGGTCTTCGTGGAACATTAGGGTCATAGTTTACACTGGGGGTGGGCAGAAATGGATTTTTTTTCCCAGTGTGCAATGAATGTTTGTGCAGTGTATTTTCTCCTGAAACACAGTCTTCCTATGTAGCCTAAGCTGGACTCCAACCCCAAATCCCCTTACTTCAGCCTCCAAAATGCGGGGATGACAGGCAAGCATCACCACACCTAGCCGTCAAATCTAATTCTTCAAATATTGTTCAGTTAAAGTTTATAAATGGCATTTTGTGCCTTCATTTTCTTTACATTTATCAAACAAGTCTTAGAATATACTAATGATGGCTTCGACATAGTTTGAAATATACCCAGAGAATTCAAGCCACTGGAATTTGTATCTTATTCAACACTCGTGTTCAATAAAATCTTAGGAGGAGCCTTCCTTAAGGGCCAGGAAGTGAGGGAATTTAATAAGAAAGGTGGAGTTTCTACAGAGAGAATTCTGTCATGACAGAGACCAGGTATTCCCTGCTCCCAAACCAAATACAGGACAATGCCCTCCAAGGGAAGCAGCTTAGCAGGGCTTGTGAAGACTCTGCTTTGTGGAGACTCATATCTGAGTCCCAAGCACAGGACCCTGGAGATTTTGGTTAGCACCTCACCCTAACCCCAACACACACACACACAACAAACAAACAAACCAAAACAACCAAACCAGAATCAAGTCAATGGCTTTTATTATGATGCAGTAACATAATAGAAAAAGGACTGTGATAAATAGGCTAAGAGTTGAATGAAAAACATAACCAACTATTTACACGTGTGAGCAGGGCACCCCCACATCAGGCACAGCAGCTGCACTTCTCAGTTGCTCCTTTGCACACACAGCCCTGGGCACACTTGGCACAGCCCACCGGGCAGCAGGAGCAGCAGCCTGGGGAGGGAACGGGAGGGAGAGTGAGAGGTAGAGCAGAATAACCAGCCCCTCCCAACCCAGCACTGCCTGCCTAGAGACCTGTCCTCAACACTGGAGAATTTAAGATTTTCTCAACAATATGAATATATGGCGTTCTTCTAAGACAACTGGAGGTTCCCTATGAGATCATTTCCAAATGCAGAAAAGCTTGGGAGCTCAGGGCAATGCAGAGAGCCTAGATGGGGCAGCAGGGCCTCAAGGGGCAAAGGACAGCCGGTTCCTCCTCGTGTGTGCGTGAGTGCGCGCGTGTGCACACACACAGTGTCCCTCCCACATCGGCACAACCCCCAGATCTACAGACACAGCCCCAACTCACTCTTCTTGCAGGAGGTGCATTTGCACTCTTTGCACTTGCAGGAGCCAGCGCAGGTGCACGAGCCGCCTGGGGAAAGGAGAAGACATAGTAGTGAGCATGGGGGACAGACTTGCAGACACAAGAGCAATCAGTCAACCTGCAGCCAGGGCCGTCCAGCACCCCACTCGATAATCTTCCTAACGACTCAAGCTGAGCCCCACTTCTTTCACAGGTTACCAGGCCCCGCCGTCGGGGGCCTGTGCGGAAGGTGTGGACGCACCAGCCGCGGGGGAAGGGCGTCGCAAGGGAAGGGAGAGGGGCTCCTAGGAGCGCCCCCAGCCGGCCTCGCAGCCCGGGGCAGCGGCTCCTACCAGCGGCGCAGGCGCAGTTGGGGTCCATGGAGAGCTCGGTGGAGGGGAGACGAGCGACGCGATGAATGGAGCGGGTGGAGGCAGCGAGAAGGCGCGATGTGGCCCTGCGCGCGGCCCGCGCGTTTATAGCCGGGGCTCGGCCCGTGCGCAGAGGTCTGCGCCCGGCCCCGGGTCTCGGCGGGAGCGTGCGCGCGGGCGGCTGGGGAGCCACGTGCAGAACCTCCCCGAGGGCGGGGCGGCGAGCAGCGCGCGCCCCCCTCCTCCTCCGGGCCCGCACCCCGCTTTCCAATGCCTGCGCCTTTGCGTTCATCCCCGCATAGGAGTTTTCGGAACCCCAATCCTTCCGCTGGCCCAACCTCAGCCCCGCACCGCGGTGTTGCTAGCTTTGCCGGAGCTCCTGTTTGGGGAGCTGTGCGCACAGGGCTGCCCCCCACCCCCCAGCACCGCGGCCCCGTGCACGCCCCGGCCTTGCCCTGCCGTCCCCACCTCGTTTCTTGCTCTGTGTGCTCGGAGTGTGCGTGGTTCTGGGACTGTGTTCCACCCCCCACCCCGCGATAGCTGCCCCGGCCCCAGAAACGGAGCCGGAATCTTCAGCTCCACGCAGCTATTGATAAAAGGCAACCCGGCGCGGGGACTCAGGCCTGCGATCCAAGCTGAGGATCGCTGCCCGAGGCCAGCCCAGAAAGTGACGTCTGTGAGACTCTTATCTCCAATGAACCACCAAAAACTAAAAAATAACCCAGAAGTGGAGCTGTGGTTCCAGTGGGCGAGCACCAGCCTTGAGCAAGAAAGCTCCGGGGCAGCGTCCGGGCCCTGAATTCAAGTCCCGGGATGCGCACCAAACCCAACCACAGCAATCGAGAGACAGCTAAAGCGGGGATGAATGCAGGAGCCCGGCTCGGGGCCACTTCCAATCAGGATCATGTCCAGGACCAGCCCAGCGTTTAGGGGACGGCGTGGGGGGGGGGGGGGAGGGAAGATGAGGCGGGGGGGGGGGGTGAGATCCGGGGCGCGGGGCCGAGGTGCAGGGCGCCGGGCCGGGTGCACAGCCCCGCCCTCCCTCGCGGCCCAGCCCTCGGGAGGTTCTGCACGTGGCCCGCAATGCGGGTCGGGCGCAGAGGCGGGGGCCGGGCGCAGACCTCTGCGCACGGGCCGAGCCCCGGCTATAAACGCGCGGGCCGCGCGCAGGGCCACATCGCGCCTTCTCGCTGCCTCCACTCGCTCCATTCATCGCGTCGCTCGTCTCCCCTCCACCGAGCTCTCCATGGACCCCAACTGCGCCTGCGCCGCTGGTAGGAGCCGCTGCCCCGGGCTGCGAGGCCGGCTGGGGGCGCTCCTAGGAGCCCCTCTCCCTTCCCTTGCGACGCCCTTCCCCCGCGGCTGGTGCGTCCACACCTTCCGCACAGGCCCCCGACGGCGGGGCCTGGTAACCTGTGAAAGAAGTGGGGCTCGGCTTGAGTCGTTAGGAAGATTATCGAGTGGGGTGCTGGACGGCCCTGGCTGCAGGTTGACTGATTGCTCTTGTGTCTGCACGTCTGTCCCTCGTGCTCATTGCTGTGTGTCTCTTCTTTCCCCAGGCGGCTCGTGCACCTGCGCTGGCTCCTGCAAGTGCAAAGAGTGCAAATGCACCTCCTGCAAGAAGAGTGAGTTGGGGCTGTGTCTGTAGATCTGGGGGTTGTGCCGATGTGGGAGGGACTGTGTGTGTGTGTGTGGGGGGGGGTAACTGACTGTCCTTTGCCCTTTGAGGCCCTGCTGCCCCTCTAGGCTCTCTGCACTGCCCTGAGCTCCCACGGTCTGGACAGCCTTTCTGCATTTGGAAATGCTCCCATTGGGAAGCTCAGTTGTCTTAGAAAGCCATATATTCATATTGTTGAGAAAATCTTAAATTCTCCAGTGCAGAGGACAGATCTCTAGGCAGGCTGTGCTGGGTTGGTTATTCTGCTCTATCTCTCACTCTTCCTCCTTTTCCCTCCCCAGGCTGCTGCTCTTGCTGCCCGGTGGGCTGTGCCAAGTGTGCCCAGGGCTGTGTGTGCAAAGGAGCAACTGAGAAGTGCAGCTGCTGTGCCTGATGTGGGGGTGCCCTGCTCACACGTGTAAATAGTGATTTGTATGTCTCAAGTTCGGTTTCTCACTCAACCCTTACCTGTTTCCCACTGCCTTTTTTGTATGAAGTTAATGCATGGTAATAAATATCATTGACTTGGTTCTGACTGGTTTTCTCTGTAGTAATAAGGGGTTGGATTGAGGGACAGATCTGGGAATCCAGGACCAAGGCTGGGGATAGATGTTAATACCCCAAACCATTCTCTTCCAGCAAGTGGGTGACCTCACTGAACCGCTGCTGTAAATTGGGGAGCAGTGGTGGGGGGAGGGCCATTGTGAGTAGGAAGGATGCTTGGGCCTCCCCCCAAAAAAAAAAAACCTTCCTCCTGAGGCAGACCCACTCCTGCTGTCTTGGGGTACACTCAGCTAGCCCATGGCTTGTTAGTTACAGGCTGCAGCCAGTCATGAGCAATGGTTGGGTAGGAGCAGGGTTCCCAGGAGCCTTCTAGCAGCCCTGGACCTTGTTTCTTCTCCTGTATGCTAAGCTCCAAATGGACCCTCCACTGGTAAGGCATGCCTGGCTCTGGGTCTTAGAACAAACACTCAACCCAGGCCGCAGTACATGGTGTCCCTGGGCTAAAGGGATCCCATTTCAAGCTCTGCGCTGAGGCTACTTAGTTGTCTAATATCTCCGAGACCCAGTTCCTGACAGCATTTCCCACTTCTCTGCCCATATCTGCCAAGAGTTCAAGGTATTGAGGCCCAAGACTGTCCTGACAGATGTCTTTCAGGGTCAGGGGCTATCGGTTGTGCCCAGGACTCTGCAGCCCTGTAGGAGTCTGACTGGATGGAGGCAAACAAGGTTGCCTTTTTGGAGATTGATGCCTGAGTCTGGGCCTCCGGTTGCACTCAACCTGGGCTGGGTCCTGAGTATGGGGATTTCCTTGTGAAAGAAAAGGAGGACACATATCCTTTCCAGATGAGGGACAGAAGATCAGACCTGTCTCCCTCTTCTGAGTGGAAAGCTAGGGCTGGTCCTGCTCAAAGGAGGGGCTCAGGGAGCTGAAGCCCTGCTGCCATGTCTCCTGCATCTCTCCCAGCTCCTTGTTGGTTTTCTCTTCCACACTGGGTCTTGGACAATAGGTGGCAACAGGACAGTGACCAGTTTCCTCATATTCTTTTCCTCTAGAGAATAGTGTGAATACAAACTGTAAGGTATATTAAATAGGCAGGTTTCATTAGGTAGCCAATGAAGAGAACACCACACGCTATTTAGGCAGGAAAAGAAGTTAATTTACCAAACTGATGCCCCAGCCATGCATGGTGGAGAAGCATAGCTGAAAGGAAAGGGGTGGGGGGAGGAAGAGGGGTGACCCACCTCTGGGCCAGGACTCATCTAGGCCAGGGACAGGGAGAGGTGTGGCCAGGTGGGGGAAAGGTGTGGCCACACTAGATCTGGATGTGACCCTTTTAAGGTCAGATGAGAGGCATGAGACCAGAGGTGGCCCAGGATGTGACCTAGTAGGAGGGGAAGGTGACTGCTTCCAGGTCTGCCAGTTACCTAGGTAACAGATACTGGGCGTAAACTTAGCCAAAAGGGAGGGAGGTATCTCTCTCCAGACCTTACATTCCAGCCTTTTGATAATTATGAAAAAGGGCGAAGATTCTCTCTGGCTACTTCCTGCTTGCAAGGGGCATCGACAATAGGGGTAAAAGGCTGGAATTTGGTCCCCTCCCAGAGAAGGCAGTGAGCAGCAGCTGTCCCTTGGTGGCGTGCAAGAAGGGAGTCTCTTGGAGGAAGTCTGGAGGAAGTCTTCTCAGGCAGGGGGCTGGACGAAGATAAAAAGGAAAAATATTACTGAAAAGATTGGATGTCCGTGGCTTGGAGGTGACCTAAGGGATGAGGTAGTGAGGAGTGTGGAGAGGAGAGAAGCTGGCTCAGCGTTACTCACCTGGATCTTCAGGGATTCGAGACAGCCTTACCTTGGTAGGCCCAAGGGGGAACAGGTGTACTTTGAAGTCAGTGGAATGTAAAGTCTGCACAGGGACACCTCCCTCCCTCTTGGCTAAGTTTCCACGCAGTATCTGTTACCTAGGTAACTGGCAGACCTGGAAGCAGTCACTTCCCCTCCTACTAGGTCACATGCCTCCCATCTGACCTTAGGAGGGTCCCAGACCCTGAGGTCACATCCAGATCCAGTGTGGCCACACCTTTCCCCCACCTGGCCACACCTCTTCCTGTCCCTGGCCTAGATAAGTCCTGGGGGGCGGGGTGTCCTCCCCCCTTTTCCTTTTTCAGCCATGCTTGTCCACCATGCATGGCTAGGGCATCAGTTTGGTAAATTAACTTCTTTTCCTGCCTAAATAGTGTGTGGTGTTCTCTTCATTGGCTACCTAATGAAACCTACCTATTTAATATACCTTACACAAACCTGGATTAGTTTCAAGTATACTAGGTTTTTTTCCCCTCCAGGGAACTTGTCACTCTCTCCCCAGGTCTGAGAGGGAGGGGACTGAGCAGTCTCTGAATAGCATGACTCACCAGAGGGCCCCCCAACTGCTCCTGGAAGCATACAGCCTGAATTTAGGGTCTGGCTTGGCTAGGGAAGAGCTCATGCCAAGACTGCTGTTGTAGGAAGACTTCCCTCTCTCTCCTCTTCTTCCCCAGGCTCCTCTTCCTGCTGCCCACTAGGCTGTGCCAGATCTGACCAGGTCTGTGGTTACAGAGGGGCATCAAATAAGGGTAGCTGGTACTCCTGATGTGGGGGGATATCCTAGTTCCCACATGTAGAGTGATGGGCCAATGGCTTGTACCTGTATTCAAAGCTACTAAAGAGGCTAAGATCTGAGAATCACAATTGGAAGCCAGCTTGCACAGAAACAATCTTTGAGATTAGAGAGGGGTGTGTGGCTCAAGTGGTAGAGTGCCACCATAAACAAGCAAGCTAATTGAGAACAAAAGTGCCTGAGTTCAATAGGCAAAAAAAAAAAAAGTGATTGGTGCAAACTTGTGTTATTTGTCCCTTGTATTTGTTTTTGTTTCTGTGAAGTATGGGAGAATAAAAGT